GGGGGGGGGGGGGTGGCCGGTCGTTAGCCGGGGCTCACATCAGCCTGGCAAACACGCGCCCCTTGCAGGCCCGGAGGCCCCGCCACCGCCCCGGGGGAGGATGCCGACCTGACCCACACATCAGGCAGGCTGCACGGGGTCATACCGCCCGACCCACCTCATAGGACCGTGCGTCAGTGCGTGTCGGAGGCGAGAGAGAGAGAGAGAGCTGCCACGCTCTGCCAGCTCGGCCCGGCCAGGCTCCGCAGGACGGACAAGGACGGATGCCCAGTCACTCAGTCCCCGAGTGTAAGTGCGAGCGGAGCGCTTCAGCTTCCTCCGCTCCGCCGTATCCATCAGACCAGCGTCAGCGTCTCTCTCTCTTTCTCCTCCTCCCCCCTTTCTCTCTCCCCCTCTTTCCCTCTCCCCGAGCAGGACGTTCCGTCCCTTGTCTACGGACGCCTATGGCACAACAATAACAACAGCGTAGTGAAGAGGTGCACTTCGTTTGCTCGTGTGCGTTAGCCGATTTAACATGAGTGAAGTCGATTTGTGGTGTTTGGTTGAGGTATGTCAAAAGTCCGAGTTTTGGATCGCTCCATCAGACGCCTTCTTAAGCCGTGCAGTGAATTTCGATCGAATCCACTTCCGGACGGGACACCCGTCGGGAGGAAGATACTATGTGGAGCTTAATCACGGAGATTCACACAGAGTCATGAGAGTTGACCACTCTACCGGAAAGAGGCCGAGTGCTGTGCAGTATTGTTTGTTGCACTATGTTAGTGGTGAGTCTGTTCGTCCAAATTGATCTTTGTGTCCCGTGAAACAAAAGTGACATATATTGCCTCGCATTTCAGAAAACCGTGAAGAGGTATTCGAGTTTGTCCACATCGCGCTACACATGGCGCGGACGTTATGCATTTCAGAAGTAGATGAGCAAGAAGTTGCCAACTGGATGAAACCGACGTGTTTAGTGAGTATCAGTGTTGTTGTGACCCACATAAAGCTCTTGCCTATGTCTCGTGCGGTGATGAAACAATGAAGTGATTTGGACGGCTTTTGTTGCAGACGCATCGCCATCACTCTTCTGTGTGTGCGGATACAGAACCGTTTACCGGACCTCTAGGATTGTGGCAGCTAGCTGAGTGTGTAACAAGTTTGAGAGCGCTAGCAAGGCGTTACGTTACATATCGGCGTGAATTTAACGAAAAATTGCTCGTATATATCCCAGCTAAGGACGATGAGACCCTTGCGTGCTTTGGCGGGCAATATTGTGCGTGTCTGCATGATAGCAAAGTTTAAAGTGTATTTGCACTGTTTATTTGTTTGTTAGAAATTGCACCAATAAAGTGACCGTAGCCACAATGCCAAAATAACAGATTGTTCGTTGTATTTCCTATAAA